CCCAACGGCTTTGCTTGCCATATCGCATTAAATATACTTTTATTTGAAAGGAAAAACCACTGCCAAGGGAGAATACAGTACAAGGATTAATTAAGAATACTGCAAGGAAATATGAGATGGAAATGACAGACCACAGTGTGTGAATACCAGAGAGTAAAAAGTGGCCTGAGCAGAAGCCAACTGGAAAATATGAATGGTTTTTTCACACAAGTACTATTTCATGAGTGGTTACATATATTAGATGTTAGGGTACTGCAGTTTGATATACCTGTTCAATAAGCAAGGTAGTAAAATGTATTTCAGCCAACCAGGGAGGCATTGAAAGCTTCTCCTTCTGAATAAATCATTGTTTCAGTGTCTCTTGGAGTGAAATCCATAGCCTTCCATGTGCTCTTGGGAATCCTCTCATTGTACATTCTTATTCTCATTGAGAGCAGAGATGCCACCTCCATATGTGGAATTCTAAGTGCATATTGGACCACTGATTTATGTCTTTGGCTTTTTAAAACATTTTGAATCATGTATAGAGCAATGTGCCTTGAGCTGCTTAGAGGAAGGATGGGATAAAAATGAAACAGATAGAAAGACCAGTGGAATCTTCCCACACTAATCTGAAATATTGGACAAAAATGACAGAACCAGGACTAGATTATGGATATTTACAACTCCCCATGTAAACTTGCTTACATATGCATAGGTTCAAACTGTATTTTGAATAGGGATATATTTTGAACAGGGGTGTTTACATATATGTTTTCGATAGGCTTTAGGAGGGACTGGAAATGTCTCCTGAACTGTCTCCATTGCTTTGAGAATATTCACATTGCTTCTGCCTGTTTGCAGCCAATATTTCCCCATTTAGCATTCAAAGTGTGTAATTTTAATATTTAATAATTAAAATAAATACATACAACATTTGCTATAGCTTTGGCATTATATTTTTTTCAGTGTCTTTCTCAGGGTGTCACATTTAAGGCCACGCCTGATGTTTACCGAACACGAGTTTCCAGAATGCGCAAACACAGTTGATAACAAGCAAAACAAATGTCGTGTTCAGGGCAGAGCCCGGTGCTTTTTACTCTACCTGGAAGATTGGGATGCACAGATGTAGTCACGATCCATTAAGCCAAAAACAAGAGACGAGAGTAAAGTTAACAAACCCGCAGAGAGTCTGAGAGCCAGAGGTTCAGTCCGAAAGTCGGGAACAGGGAATTCTGGGGTCGAGGTCCAAGGCTTGGAAACGAGGGCAGGAGACAGGGTCTGGATTCCTAGCTGCAAAACACACGGGTTAACAGAACAAGATGCAAGGCAGCACACGAGGCAATACACTGTTTGCGGAGTGGGTCAGCTCACGGGGTGGTAGTGAGGTTGCTTCCACAATGAGCTCTACTCATCGTTTTTCTCTTATTATCCTAATTAGCTGATTCATGCCAGAAGCACAGGTATTACTTCTCACCAGCTTATTATTTTTGCTCCTGAAAGGACTCAGCTTCAGTAACTAAAGCTGAACTCCATTGTTCAATTAAACGAGCACTTCTTCATCTTTCCCAGGCTGTCTAATGCTCCCAATGTCTTCTGCACTCAGCTGGTTCAGGAGACACCAATGGTGAATGAGACTCTGATCTCTGTCCCTTTTCTTTCGTCTCCTGCCAGAATGAGCAACCCTCATCTCCTGACGCTTCTTGAGTTGGCTCCGCCAGCTGCTCAAGCAGGCTCTCCTCCAGTGCAGGGCCTGATACTTCCATTTCCTCATCCTCGGAGGAGGAGACAGCTGACTGGCTCATGACGCAAAGGCTCCTTTTTATAAACCACATAGTTCTAGGCAGTCAGGGATCATGTAGTGAACATGATTTTATAGTACCACTTAGTCAGACCTAACCATATGACAGTGTTAACAAGGGTGAATGAAGTCAGATTTATTGCCTTCAATTAGACCTTGTGAGCAATGCTCCCTTTAAGCTATGGAGTCTTGTGAGCAAAGATTCTACTTTGTGAGCTACTGGCATTCAAAGTGTGAGTGAGCAATTTGGCTATTGCATAAATTAGTTTGCTCTGGAGCCATCCTTCCTGAGCGAAGACAAAAATGTGTGAGCCAGAGGCTAAAAATCTGCTAAAAATCACACTAACTCAGAGGGAACATTGCTTGGAAGTAAGGGAGGAAATGTATACCTATTGCTGAAGCAACTAGCCAACTCCCTGTCCTGCCAAGTAGCAATAATTTTATTGCCTTGCTGTGCCATAGTTCAATATGCCATAAGTCCAGCATCTTGTCTCACACAGTGGCCAACCAGTTACTCTGGAGGGCCAACAAACAAGAGAGAGGCTGAGACCTTCCCTTCATGTTGCCTCCTGGCACTGGTATCCAGAGGTTTAGTGCTTTGAATGTGGAGGTTCCCTTTAGTCACCATGACTAGTAGCCACTGACAGACCTATTCTTCATGAATCTGTCTAATCTTCTCTTAAAGCCATCTATACTTGCGGCCATCACTACATCCTCTGGTAGCAAATTTCACAGTATGATCACTCACTGTGTAAAAATGATTTCCTTTTGTCAGTCCTGAATCTTCTGCCCATTGACTTTAGTGGATGCCCCTGAGATCTAGTATTTTGGCAGAATGCTCAGTATAAGCAAGAGCAGCCTCGAAATCAACACAATCTAGGTCTTTTTATCTGATTTTATGACTTGCGAGAGCTACCAGAGTTGCATTCATTAATTTCAGTTTATATCCAATCCTACTGAACAAGCTTGGGCCTACTATATTTTATTTGACTTCACTTTAAAAGTATTCCTTGCTTCATGTGAAGTATGGAAGGGGTCATACAGACCATCTAGTCCAACCCCCTGCCCAATGTAGGACCAGCCTAAAGCATCTCTGACAAATATTCATCCAGTTTCTTCTTGCAAGCTGTCAGTGAAGGGGAGCTAACCACCTCTAGGCAGCTGATTCCACCTTTGAACCACTCTGACCATGAAAAAGTTTTTCCTAATATCCAGCGGATACCTTTCTGCCTTTCAACTATTTAAAGAGAGCAATCATGTCCCCCCTCAATCTCCTCTTCTCCAAACTAAACATTCCCAAGACCGTTAAGCCTTTCCTCGTAGGGCTCAGTTTCCAGACCCCTGACTATCCTCATCGCTCTCTTCTGCACCCTGTCAATTTTGTCCGCATCCCTTTTGAAATGAGGCCTCTAGAACTGCACACAGTACTCAAGGTACGGCCTGACTAAGGCAGTATACAGAGGGGCTATGACCTCTTGCAATTGCGATGCTATGGCCCTTTTAATACAACCCAAGACTGAATTTGCCTTTTTTTGCCACCACATCACACTGACTGCTCATATTTAGTTTACAGTCCACTCTTACCCCAAGATCTCTTTCGCATACGCTACTCCCCAGAAACGTATCCCCCATCCAGTATTTGTGCTTGACATTTTTGTGGCCCAGATGTAATACTGTACATTTATCTTTGTTGAATTGCATCCTGTTTGCAACCGCCCACTTCTCCAGAGTATTCAAGTCTTGTTGAATTTTAACTCTATCTTCTTGGGTGTTTGCTACCCCTCCCAATTTGGTATCATCAGCAAATTTAATGAGTAGCCCTTCTACCCCTTCATCCAGATCATTGATAAAAATATTGAAAAGTACCGGGCCCAAAACCAAGCCCTGCGGCACCCCACTGGGCACCTCCCTCCAATCTGATGAAACGCCATTGACCACCACTCTTTGGGTGCAGTCCTCTAACCAGTTCCCTATCCACCAAACTGCCCTATAGTCCATGAAGATGATGGACAGAGGTTCTGCAAGTTCATTAGAAAGTTCTTTGAGCACTCTTGGGTGCACACCATCTGGCCCAGGGGATATGTATTCGTCCACTACAGCCAGGTACCTCTCCACAACCTCCCTGTCAATGTCAACTGTACAGTTGACATTTCCGCCTCCTAATCTCCTTAACCTCCTAATCTTCTTAAACATTAGGGTAAGTTTTTTTAACAAACAAATATGGTTTCCCGTATTGCTTTCCCCCAATATAAAAACCTCTTCTTCCTTCAAGTTTCCCTTTTACCCATCTTATCCTTAGGATATCGTCAAGCCCTTAATTGGAAATTTTGATATTAACTCCCAATACTCTCTAGTGGGTGTTAATGGATATAAGTATTTTAATCAATTCCAAGTTATGGGACCTCTCTGGAAAACTATGATGGGATTTTAAAAAAAATTCTGTAGAATGTAGGCACCAGACTAAAATTAATTTGGGGTGGGGGGTGAGAGTTCTCACTCACATGAAATCTCCTAGTAACCACCTTCTGAAGAGCATATGTCACAAGAGTGACATTTTCCTGATGAATTTTGCCATCTGAGTGACTTGTTTCACAGCAACCAATGATACAGAAATAGGTCAGAGATAAAGAGATCTGTAGTGAAGATATTACTCTTCCCAAAACAAGAGGATGTGAAGGAAATAATATTTTTAGACAAATATTGTTTAGTACGCTTACTGAAATCCTCTTTATCCTTAACCAAATCAGAAAATTTGTTTCATGCAAGACAACACCATGTGCAATTGCATTTGCTGAACTGTGGGAACTCCTGGAGCCCAAACATGAAAACTAAATGCGTATTACATGGAAAGGCATGCTTGTCAGATTCTATTTTTTTCTAGATTCTTCTAGCTCTTTGCATACTGTAATATTCTGGCTCTTCATATCCTTGCACGTGAGGATTGGAATAAATTGCCTCCTGAGCAATTGCAGTAGGCAAAATGGGGTTGTTCATCATGCACTGATTTGATTTGTAGGAAGCGTCACACTCTATTATACCCAACACATCTGCAGCTTCTTGTGCAGTGGCATGCACTGCCTCATCAGGTGTGTGTGTGTCTGTGTGTTCAAACAAGTATATACTGTTGGTGACAAAAGAATGTTGACAGTTGCTCTGATTAATTTTTGTTACGAACTAAACCAAATTTAGTTATGTATCACTTTGGATTTTTGTTTTCCAGCCTTGTTTCAGTGAACAGAAGACTAGTAACCTTGAGGCCTATGTAAAATGGTTCAATAGACTGTGCTATCTTGTAGCAACAGAAATTTGCATGGTAAGTGAAAGATGTGTAGGCATAACTTTTGCTCAGTTATGTCCCTTTGATAATTTTACTAATAAACACATATTAACACACACATAATATATCTAATAGTGAACCTGGCCTCTGTGAGAATCAATAGACCCAGAACATGGGGGCATGTACACACATTAGATGTTTTTCTGCAGGTCTGGAGAAGCCCTCAGGTTTACAGACAAATATCAAAACTTTTAGAAATGTTAAAAGGTAAAGGTTCCCTTGCTCGAAAGCCAGTCGAATCCGACTCTAGGGTTGCAGTGCTCATCTTCGTTTCAAAGCCGAAAAGCCAGCGCTGTCCGAAGACGTTTCCGTGGTCATGTGGCCGGCATGACTAGATGCCGAGGCGCACGGAACGCTGTTACCTTCCCACCCAAGTGGTACCTATTTATCTACTTGCAATTTCTTGCTTTCGAACTGCTAGGTTGGCAGGAGCTGGAACTAGAGATGGGAGCTCACTCCATCATGCGGCACACTCGGGTCTCGAACTGCTGTACTACTGACCTTCCACAGCCTGCAGTTCAGCGTCTTAACCACTTGAGCCACCGCAGCTCCTTCTTTTAGAAATAGAGGGGTGGTTAAATCCCCCTAAACAGAGGTGTTATGTCTGTGCTTGCCACAGTGTGAACCAGATTGCCAGATGTGGCAGGTGGACATGGGAAAGAGGGAGATTGGTAATTGCTGTCGTCCTCCCCAGCCAGTAGTGGTAAGGGGCCAGGTGTGTGGGCAGAGCAACAAGGACAGGTGAGCATGTAGACAGAGTGGCAGGGAGGTAGGTGGTCCCCTTCCCCTATGAGTTTAGTGGGTCCCTGCAGAGGGGGCAGGAGCCCCAATACATGAGCAAGTAAAAGGGGGAAAGTGGGATTCCCCACAAGTCTCCTGGGTTCTCCACTTGTCATCAATATATCTAATTCCCAGTGTAGACCCATCTGTGGATATTTGAATCCAGAGATTGGTGCTACGAACAGATGAGACAGATCTTTCTACAAACCTAAGGAAAGCCCCACATTTGCAGAAAAAGCTGAATTAAAAAAAATACACTGGGAGGTTAAAACACCCTCAAATAATTGGTAATTGTGGGGGTTGCTAGGCAACCACAGCAGTATTGCCAGCCTTAGTTTGAACTGACATAGATGGGAGTGTGGAGTATAGCCTGCCTCTGGCCAAGGTTTTCTGGCAGAGGTTCTTATGCCATTTGTAGGCTCCACTGGCTACAGGTTGAATACTGAATCAGATCCAAGGTTCTTGTACTTACCTTTAGAGCCCTAAACAGTCTGGGACCATTGTATCTGTGGGATCACCTCTCCCTGTATATCCCTCAGAGAGCATTATGCTCATTTAGTAACAACTCACTGGTAATCCCTGGCCCCAGAATGGTCTGGCAGTCCTTGACCAGGACCAGGACCTTTTCAGCTCTGGGCCCAATCAGGTGGAATTCTCTGCCTAGTGAGACTTGAGCCCTGCAGGACTTGGTTCAGTTCCACAGGGCCTGTAAGACCAAGATGTTCCACCAGACATATGGTTGAGGATAGTGTCACCTGGAAAGATTACCTGGCCCTCTCACTGTTGTGCCGCAAATCTCGCTGTACTGGCTGCCCCTTAGTTATCCACCCTGAAGGCTTGTTGGGGTGCCAGCTGATACAATAGATACTTAAGTTTTGGTTTAAATTATGATGTTGATTTTATTGTATATCTAATTGTTGGAAGCTGCCCTGAGCCCTGCCTGGCAGGGAAAGGAGAGGATAAAAGTCAAATAAATAAATTTGTTATCGGAGACTTATTTTAGAGCATCTGGAATCGTTTGTTGAGTAGGTAGACAATTGATGTAATCTGATAGGTTGTTTAAAACAAGAGTAACAGCTCAGTTTCAGAACTTCACTGTATCTTTAAAAAAACAAAAACTAAATCTCTATCACAATGTAATCACTGTGAGTTAAAATTAAATTGCACAACTGCCCACTTGTTACCATAAATAAAGGCTGGATTATTGAAAAACACAGCAAGTGCAAAAAATAACATTCACTAGCAATTTATGACCTGCTTTTACTTTCTTCTTTTCAAGATAAAGCCCAGAAAAAGATGCTGCGATTGGCATGAAGCCCAGAAAAAGTTACAGTAATTGGCATTTTATTGACAGCTAGTTGGATAGTATATCCACGGATTTAATAGTCTCAAGAGTACAGGTTTATGCATCCGTGTTGGGTCAGGCTTGAATACATTCCTAAAGGTATAATAGGTTCTGGTAACTCTCTGTAGTGGGAGCATTGCTTTGGCAAGCTGCTGGTAGTGAGTGTCATTAATCAAACAGCTTCAGTGGAATTTTGTAGCTGGATGTTTTCTGAAATCAATTGATTGAGCTGTAGAATAGGGCATCTCCAGTGGAGCGGCCTTGACATATCACACAGTTGGGGTTTTTTACACTTGTCTTTCATGTCTGTTTTATTTGTCTGTTTGCAGCCTGCAAAAAAGAAGCAACGAGCACAAGTGATTGAGTTCTTCATTGATGTTGCTCGAGAGTGCTTTAACATAGGGAATTTTAATTCGTTGATGGCAATCATATGTAAGTTTCTTGGTGCCATTTCTATAGGGAATCACAGGTGTGGAAAGGGTCTCTGTTTCCTTAATTGCCTCCCTCTTTCTTCTTCTTTCTCTCCAGCTGGTATGAACATGAGTCCAGTCTCCAGATTAAAGAAGACCTGGTCAAAGGTCAAAACAGCCAAATTTTTTATTCTTGAGGTATTTTTGTTACTCATATTTTTGTGCATTTGGTTAGGCTGCATATTCCTGTAAAGATGCTGAATGATACAATGGACCTTGTGTATCGTACCAAATGCTCAGAGAAGAAATACACATCAAAACCCCCAGAAAATACCTGACTCATGAAGGAGTGTACACTGATTCCTGACACAGTTCAAGGTCTGTATTTTTAGTTCAAGCCATGGAGAGCAGAGCTAAAAGTGCCATAACACCCGAATTCTGTCACTATTTTGACTGAAACAGCAATTCATACATCCAGATCAGTGGCCATCCAAAAATCCAGTGCTTGGTAATCCGGAAGACTGATTTCTGCCAGTGAGGAAAACAGCAGATCAAACTATCCATTGGTAATCCATCCACAAAGTGGAAAACATGTATGTTTGCTTGGAATAAAACTGCAAGGTTCATTGTTGATGTTGCCTGTAATAATTCCTGCCAGGTTCATTGTTGATGTTGCCTGTAATAATTCTGCAAATAAAACTGCAAACCTCTTAAGGGGTCTATGAGGTAACATTTTCAAGAACCAAAATTGCAACAATGCTTGGGGCCTCAGGTCTAATATTGTCATCACTTCTGTTTTTTCCCCTATTGCCAGGGCACTCAGGGAACTAATTCCTGAACATATGTGTATTGTCAATCTGCTGCTCTGTGCATATATATCTCCAGCATGAGATATTTGTTCTCCTTTATAGGACTCAGAAGATTAGCAGTATAAATAATGGACACCAAATTGACCTAACTATAACAATGCTTTTCCCGGATATACATCCCTGGGCTGTGTCAGCAGATATGGTTTGGGAGTTCCATGCAGAAGCCAGATTAACATTGGGACTATGGCATGTATGTTTAGGAAGTTTAAGTCCTCCTCCCCAAGCACCATTTTCCTGACTTAAAACAGAATGAGCCTTCTGAGCGTGGAAGCTTACTGTATACCCATCCATGGGCCGAATAGTGACTCCCTCCCTGTAGTTTAAGCCTGTTTCCCCTTAATGTGATAGTCCTTATCAAAATCTGACCAGCATATGCCTGGGAAACACAGACCTCCCATTCCACATCCTTTGAGATGACTTGGAGAAATACCTTGGAAAACTGTGTCATGCAGTTAGGTCCTCACCCTCTCTCAGGCACATTCAGGTGGTTTGATGTAGTTATATTTTTCTTTTTTTAAAAAAAATGTAATCCACCAGAGTCTCAGCATTAATGACAGACTATAAATTAAGTAAGTAAGTAAATAAACTACACTGTTGCACCACTGTGGGTTCTGCAGATCTTAGTATTGCTTCACTTAACAGAAAGGATAGTGCTGAAGGGGTTTTGTAAGGTTGTAAGCAGGTGTAGCTTATCATAGATAAGACAGACTTGAAGGAAAATGATCAGACAAGGAAATATTGCCCTCACCAACATATAGTTTGTTCTGTAGAGAATGTTGTTTTTAGCAATTCAACCCTCTGTTGAGTCTACAGGAGTTCTCAGCCTGAGACCCTGGAGAGCCGCTGCTGGTCTGAGTAGACAATACTGACTTTGATGGATCAAGAGTCTGATTTAGGGCTGCCAAGTGGGGGCGGGGGGGGGGGGACCCCCCGCTTTGGAGGCCCGATTTCTGCCGCCGTGGAATCGGGCCCCGGGGGG